AATGTTGTTACAAGTTCACCAATGCTTTCTAGAAATATGAATATGTAAACTTGTGATTCCAGAAAACAGTCTTTCAAATGTGAATTTACAACCACAGACCTTATCAGGCTTGGAGAGCTGCCAGGCTGATGTCTTCCAAACTTGCAATGCTGTACAAGAAAATGCTTGGCAAGGAGTCTCTGAGAGTCACGAACAGATCTTCACACTAATGAAATGAACAAATTGTCTCCTGCAAACTCCCCACCCCTTTTGCTCCCCTTTATTCCCTATGGGAGGGACCATTCACCATCCACCATCCACCTTTGCTCCCGAGTCTGCCCTTGTTCCTTAACTGTTCCCTTCTCTGCACATGCGCACACTGGGAACAGGCTCCAGCTGTTCCTCAGCCCCACTTATCTCCGACTCCAAAGGTAGCTGATAACTGTCAGACAGCCCTGGCCCTCTGTCTGTCTCTGATGCAGAGCACCCATCAGAGCTTTCCCCAGACTCCAGGAGTGGCCCATGTTCCTCCACAACCTCTTTACTGTCCGAGTCTGTCGCCAGCTCTACTGGCTGCTGGCGGGCCACAACAGCTGCTAGGTTGGCAGCAGCTGGGGCAAGGACAGGAGCTCACCCCATTATGTAGTGCTTGGGTCTCGAACCTGGGCTGCTGGCTTTCCAGCCAACAAGCCCACCGTCTTAAAACTGCTGTGCCACTGCGCCACCCCAGCAATTAACAGGAGCTGTTAGAAAAATTCCTAAAGAAGTTGAAATCCCGACGGAAGATCAAGACAAGCCTGGCTTGCTCTTAACTTCTTATTTAGAAACAAGCACTAAAAAAATCTCACGATTTCTTCTCCTTGTTCTTTTTCCCTCCTCCTCCCCCCTGAGTATATATTTTTTTCTGTGGGAAGATGAGATTTAGAGGAAAGAAGAAAGTGCCTATTGGAAATGATGTGACTGCTCAAGGCTTGATTTTCAGATGTGCTAAGTACAGGAAAAAATGAGAAAAAGTACAAGAAAGGAGAAACTTCTTGATATTCAGTGCCTCTGACAGCCCATCCCCAGGTGAATAGGGCACCTTCAGATCTCGCCCAGCCTTTTTCAAATAATAATGATAATGCTGAATTTCAAATAATCACAATAAAAAAAGAGGATGCAAATAGAAACCAGATGCCATTTATTTTCTTATTGCATTAATTATTCCTCCTCCTCCTCCTCCTCCTCCTCCTCCTCCTCCTCCTCCTCCCGTCTCATAAAGAAATAGGGCAGCTGGGGTAAAAGCCACTGAGCATCAGCACATCTCGTGTCAAGCATTTCTTGGAGTTAATTAAGCATGTTGAAGAATAGCCAATGTGAAGAAAGTGCCTCTCTTTTAAAGAAGTTATTCCTTTTAAGATTCAAGATGGGAAAATTGGAATAACTTGTCTCCTCTTTGGAGAGAATTCATGTTTTTTATGAAACTTTCTTTAAGGGGGGAGAGAATAACCTTTTCCGAATCTTAAATTGGCACAGAAAACCACATGTCTTCTGAATAGTTTTTATCCCAGAGCTATAATTGCACTCAACAATGAACTAAAGGGCCACCATCAGTTGGACAGCATTACTTGGTCTGTTGTGTGGATGTTTGGGTGGTTTAGGGGTGGGGAATTTGTGGTAGGTGGGAGTGTGTTTGGGGATTGTTATGTGTGTTGGGCCTGCTCTTTGGGTATTATGTGAATTTTGTTGTATGGGTATACTGTGTATATACATACAATGACAATAAAGTTATACTTATACTTAAAAGAATGTGACTTTTTTTTGGAGAGAAAGAGGATAAACTTTCCCAAGCTATTTTGAAAACAGCAAGGTGACGTAGAGATAAACTTTTCAAGTTTGCGTGACCCAGATTTCTATTTTTTATCCACCCAATGCATACCAGCTGAAAGCTTCTTTTTTATTTCTCATGTCTACCCAGCCATGAGAAATGATGTTCGCTTCTTACGGTTTTCTGGCAACAGAAAGAAAAGCAGGCAATTGGAAAGGAGGTGTCAAGAAAGCTTACGGTGAACCGAGGCTGCGGGGCGTTTAAGGATCTGAGATTGGTGATTGCAAAGAAAGGGCAATATTTGGGACACCTAGAGTTTCTGATTCTCTTGGAACAAGCACGTCCAATTAATGAGATCAATTAGCAATCTCATGGGTTTCGCTAAATCATGAATGGACCACCATCGTGCAAAGTTGTCTGAATGACGATCAGATACATCCTTGAAAGTCTACTCAGATATGGCCTTGAATGTCTACTCCAGGGGTCAGCAACCTGTGGCTCTGGAGCCGCATGTGGCTCTTTCACCCAACTGCTGTGGCTCCTGTCACTCAAAATATGCGTCACAACCACCAATGTGTGACACCTGCTGGCACGCGATTTATTGAGCTTTTCAACCCCCGGTAGGCCAACCATGGATAAATCCAAGAAAAGAAAAAATGTTCAGAAGAAAACAGAACATTTAATTCAACTACATATGCTAGTTTTGTGGCCGCTCAAGAAATAGTCAGGCACGGGAAGGGTTTTTGTGGCTCCCGGTGTTTTCTTTTCTGTAGTAAATGGGTCCAAATGGCTCTTTGAGTGTTTAAGGTTGCAGACCCCTGGTCTACTCAAACATGACCTTGAAGGTCTATGCAAATATGACCTTGAAGTTCCACTCATTGGCCCATTGAGAGTTAAATATAGTGGTAAGAGTATTGGTCTAAGAAGAGGAAACCCAGGTTTCTCATCCACAGGTATTTCATGGGTGGCTTGATAAACAGAGAAAAAGAGGAATGCTTGGAAAAAAATCAGTGAGATCTATTCAAATTTAGTTCTGAAGTTAATAAGAACTTGCTTAGTAAGTATGTTCAGCAAGCAATACCTATTTTAAATATTACCATTAATTTAGAACTACATTGTTATAATAAAGGTGAAAGCTTACCTTAATATATTAGTTTGAAATCTTAGATATATGGAAAAAAATAGTATTTGTATATTGATGAATGATTTTGTGATGGCTTTTTCAACCCTCATTTGTAAAATAATGATATAATCCCCTAATGTGATCCTAAATTAATCAGAAATATAACTAGTGCTTTGTGATAAATGACCTTGTGCTAAATTTAGGCCACATCTCTGAGCCCTGATAGGCATAGAAAATGTTTCAGATTTGCTTGTATATTTTTAACTGAAAGTGAATTTTCTTAAATTAAGTATAATTACTTTAAGGGCATCATAAAAACAATACCTTTTCCCCCCTTTTTGTATTGCAATAAAGAAATTGTAATAATATGAAATGAATCGAAGAACATTTCACACTTTAATGAAAAATACATTTTATTGTTGCCCTTGTTTAAATCATACTTTATTTAGAACACTTTAATATTTAACATATTATTCAGAATAATTTAATTTACTAACCTCTTACTCAAAACAAAGTTTAAAAGGTATTATTTTGGATAACTACACAGCAGAGTATTTTTAAATATTTCTGGGAAGAAAATTTGTTGTATCAATAGAAGTGTTTAAAATACCTTTTTAGGTGGGGGAAAAAAACAGACCTTAAATATTGTCATTCTTCTATATATTCTTCTAAGCTCCTCAACTATTAAATTCTTAAACATTGGCTTTATGTTAGATATATTGAAATTGTCTGGCTGTAATTTTGCATCTTTTGAATGCAAAAACCCTTCAATCAATTCTATTTCCAAAAGGAAGTTTACACTACCTACATTATTTAACATGTCAAATCTAAAATGATACCTAGAGACTTTTCAAAAGAAGAGTTTTGGATAGCAATTGCATTTAAAAATAAGACTGACTGATCTACCTAGCACACAATATATATATTTTTTTAAGAAAAAATCTTTCACACATGAAACTGACTCGTATATCACATGCACGCACTGTTTTTCACCTGTGCCACAGAACAATTAAGACTACTGTGTATAAGAGGATAGACCACACCAAAAACTGTCCTCAACCTACAACCGCAATTGAGCCCAAAATTTCTATTCAATCGCAAGACAATCGTTAAATGAGGTGGGCCCCATTTGATGAACTTTTCTGACATAGTTGTTAAGCGAATCATACAGTCATGAAGTGAATATGGCTTTCCTTCATTGACTTTGCTTGTTGGAAGCTAGCTGGAAAGCTTATAAAGAATAGAATAGAATAGAATAGAATAGAATAGAATAGAATAGAATAGAATAGAATAGAATAGAGGTAGGGTAGGGTAGGGTAGGGTAGGGTAGGGTAGGGTAGGGTAGGGTATGGTTAGAATTAGAATTAGAATTAGAATTAGAAAATTAGAATTAGAATTAGAATTAGAATTCTTTATTGTCCAAGTGTAAAAAACCAACAAATGGTTGTAAAACACGAATTGCCTGTATGCAATGGACACCTGGAGCATCGTAACAGGTCTACAGTGTTTCAAAGGGTCATTAAATGAATGGTTGAAAGTAGAGGACTCCCTGTCATTTATATAGTACATTCCCGGTGTTGGGAGGACTTGCCAATTCCTTGGGAACAGGGGTGGGCTGCTGGGAGTTCGCAGGGGTTCGGCAGAACCTCTAGCTAAGATTCTGTGCAGTTCGGAGAACCCACAAATCCCATTCCTGGCTGGGCCTGCCCAACCTGCCCCCACTCCTCCCAGGAGTCCCCACGTGGCCCGTTTCAGATGCAGGTAAGTGCAGAGGGTGCATGGAGGCTCGAGGAGGGTGAAAAATGGGCCTACCGGAAGTTTTGGAAGGCCGGAAACAGGCCTGTTTCTGGCCTCCAGAGGGCCTCTGGAGCCTGGGTAGGACATTTTCATCCTCCTGGAGGCTCCAGGAAAGCCTCAGGAGCCCAGGGAGGGCAAACGTGCCCGCTCCCCACCATGGTGCAGGAGGCCAACTAGGCCACACCCACCATGGCCACACCCACAGCAACCGGGCAGAGAACCCCTTGCTAAAATTTTTGAAGCCCACCCCTGCTTGGGAACCTTGTTGGAACTCTGGTTTTCTTCCTTCTGCAGTCCCAGCGCCGAGTTACATTTCATCTCCCCGATGGGTCTCAAGAAAGCTGCAGTGACAGTGGGCTGGGAGACCACGAGCCCAGCAGTAACACCAGTATGACCCATCCTTTGCCACTGGGTTTCCCTCAAGAGGAGTACTATGAGCAGACCTCACCCAACAGTCGGACAGAGGGAGATGGAAACTCAGATCCGGAGTCCAGTAAGTTTCTTGTATTTGGTCATATTTGCTTTGAAACCACACCAGGGGGAAAAAGTCTGGCTTGAGAAGGACTTAAGGCAAGAGAAATGAGCTTTAACGGAGAGCAACCAAACAAGTTCAGGTAAGCAGAAGGTCAAGATGCCCCTGTTTTAATTATTTTTTCCTGTGCCTGCTTGGGGTTATTTTGAGAGTCAGATGATGGAGCCAAATGTTCACTTCTGCTTCGAGATGGGGGAAGGCTAAAGCTTGGCAACCTGTAAATTTTAAAACATACAATGCTAATATGGGGAGGCACCAAAAAGGAAAAAAAAGAAAAAAGAAAAGGAAATAAGAATCAGGAGCAGTAGAGCTGGTAGGGTCAAGAAGTGGGTACCTTTTGAGCAAAGCTTGGCCTTGAGTGGTTCTATTTTAATTTCAGTTACATTGTTGGGCAGAATACAAAGGCAGACTTTCCATTTTGACTGGGCATTTGAAGAACCTAAAAATTGCAGCAAAATTGACAAAGGTATGATACCCCAACTTGAGTGATGATGATGATGATGATGATGATGATGATGATGATGATGATGACTTGAATGTAGCCAATACTTTGAACCTGCATTTTTAATACTTATGAATACCGTGTTTCCCCGAAAATAAGACCCTGTCTTATATTTCTTTGAACCCTGAAATAAGCGCTTGGCCTTATTGCCATGCGCTCAAAAGCCCGATTGGGCTTATGATCAGGGGATGTCTTATTTTGGGGAAAACAGGGTAGATTGGATGAAATAATTTGTATATGATATGTTTTCAAATTCTCATTGTTCCAGACAACCCATACTTCACTTCTTATATTAAAAATAATAATAATAATACCTGAATTATTATGTAACTGTTTAATTTTGAAGCCACAAAAATTTGGGTGGGAAGCAGGTATTCCTTTTTTGTTGCGTTGAGATAAGGCAAACAATGTATTTTTAGCTTCTATTGAAAAATTGTTACTGTTACTATTGTTACTATTTTTAGCCATATTTGATTTACCATATTTTTCAGAGTATAAGACGCACCTTAGTTTTTGGGGAGAAAAATAGGGGGAAAAATTCTGCCTATCAGGTATTCATCTGGCTAGCGTCCTTAGCCTGGTCAGCTTCAGCACATTACTTTGCTCGCTGGTTCTGAGGTTGGGGCTGGTTGGGGCTAAAAAAACAGCTTCTAAAGCACAACTGATCGTCGGAGGGAGCTCCAGTGACTAAAGCAGGCAAAGTGCGGAAGGGGCAAGAGAAGGCAGCAGCTATTCCGGGTAGCCATTTTGGGCACCGTGCGTCGTGTTTTCAGCCTCCAAATGTGTTGTGTTTTTGGGTGGCAATCGGCAGCAATCCCCGCAGCTTTGAAGGGATCTCAAACAGAGCATTTGGAGGCTGAATACGCAATGTGCAGAGCCCAAAAACACAAGCCATTGTTGGTGGCAATCTCTGCAGCCAGGAAGAGGACGCACGGAGCAGGGGTGGGTTCTACTTACCTTTACTACTGATTTGCAACGGGAGTGCACACCTGTGCTTCTGCTCATGCGCAGATGTTTCTGCACATGCACAGATCACTCATGATGATGTCGTGGCAGGTGGACGGGGCCTTCCGCTGGTTTTACTACCGGTTCTATAGAACCAGACAGAACTGGGAGCAACCCACCACTGGCGCGGAGGCCAAAGGGTGGGGGCCGGTGGGTGGGTGGGGTTACATTTGGAGTATAAGACACACCCAAATTTTCAGCATCTTTTAGGAATAGTTTTGATAACTGTTAAAGAAAGTGACATAGGAAGAATATGACATTTCCACTGATGAAGTCCTGTAAATAGGGAAACTCTCCAAGCTTACACATTTGACTGGTGAATTTAACAAGTTTGTTCATAATCTGGACTAAGACAAAAGAAAAGCAGCAAATAACACCAGAAGTACTGTAATTCCCCCAAATGGGACCTGGGTAAGCAATTGTAAAGCGATGCTCCTTTGAGCAATCAATTATTGCTAATTCTATAGACACATTGTTGTGGGTTGAGCTAGTAGGGACTGCAAAGAAAGGAATCTTGGCATGAAAAAAGGCCCATTCCATGTTGAGGATTAAGAGAAAGGGAAAAAATCAGTCATTAAACTGTGCGGTATCATAATAACTTTCTTTAGAGTGAAATGTTCTTGGAATGGGATATGCACTTCTGGTCCCACCACCACAAAAGGGGCATTGTAATGTTGTTGAAGATGCAGGAAAAGAACATTGAGGTCCTTCAAGGGGATAAACTAAATTTCTTCTGAAGAGAGGAAGGGGGAGGTTATGACATGCGTGGCATGGAAAGAAAAGGGACAGGAAAAAGTTTCATTCCCCTTTGAAAATAGTTGAACTAAGAGAGCTAAGGGACAATCTGAAAAGTTAGTGGTGGAGACTTGGGATTTTGATACTACAAGAAAGGGAAATAGCTATCAACTGATATCATTTTTAAAGAGGACTAAGCTAATTTGGGAGGTTAATGCACTAAATAACTATAGGTGTAATGACTATTAGGTAAAGGTGAAGGTTCCCCTCGCACATATGTGCTAGTCGTTCCTGACTCTAGGGCGAGGTGCTCATCTCCGTTTCAAAACCAAGGAGCCAGCACTGTCCAAAGACATCTCTGTGGTCATATGGCCAGCATGACTAAACGCCAAAGGCTCACGGAACGCTGTTACCTTCCCACCAAAGGTGGTCCCTATTTTTCTACTTGCATTTTTTACGTGCTTTCGAACTGCTAGGTTGGCAGAAGCTGGGACAAGTAACGGGAGCTCACCCCATTAACACGGCACTAGGGATTCCAACCGCTGAACTGCCGACCTTTCGATCGACAAGCTCAGCGTCTTAGCCACTGAGCCACCTGAGCAAATTGGCATGGTCTGCTAATGAACGCAGGAACGGGCTGCAGAGAACGGAATCAGTTCTACTGGCTCTGAATTAGTGAAGGAAAAAAGATGCAGCTACTTTAATACTTGGACAATAGGTGCTTCACATAAGGTGTCGTAAACTGCAAAGCAGTTATTCCTAAGGATTTGACACAATTGCAATGCTATACATTACTTTTTACATTTACTGTATTAGAAGCAGTCAACAGTTCTGAGGATGCAATTAGATTTCGCTTACCAACTTCCTCTATGCATCTGGGAGGCGAATGTTTGAGGAAAAAATTAGGTTCGATTGGTTTTGGAAGGTTGACCAATTGGACTGTTGTTGTTGTTATTGTTGTTGTTACTTTGAGACGTTTCGCTGCTCATCCAAGCACCTTCATCAATCAGAGCAAGCTAGTTAGGCAGAGAGTCAATAGAATGTACCAACTCCTGCCACACCAACCTCAGGGGTTTCCTCGAGGATTAGATCGGCTGTTGAAGTAGTCCATCATAGTTCTTCTGCTGTAAATTGACAATCATCTTGAAACACAATTGAGATTACAGTTTTTCTTAGTGCTAATAGATATATTGTTCAGAATGGAATGGAATGGAATGGAATGGAATGGAATGGAATAGAATAGAATAGAATAGAATAGAATAGAATAGAATAGAATAGAATAGATAGAATAGAATAGAATAGAATAGAATAGAATAGAATAGAATAGAATAACAGGGTTGGGACGGACCTTGGAGGTTTTCTAGTTCAACTCCCTGCTTAGGCAGGAAACCCTACGCTACTTCAGACAAATATTTCAATCTATTCTTAAAAACTTCCAGTGTTGGAGCATTTACAACTTCTGGAGGCAAGTTGTTCCACTGATGAATTGTTCTCGCTGTCAGGAAATTACTCCTTAGTTCTAAGTTGCTTCTCTCCTTGATGAATTTCCACCCATTGCTTCTTGTCCTGCCTTCAGGTGCTTTGGAGAATAGTTTGACTCCCTCTTCTTTGTGGCAGCCCCTGAGATATCGGAACACTATCAGGTCTCCCCTAGTCCTTCTTTTTATCAAACTAGACATACCCAGTTCCAGCAACCGTTCTTTATACGTTCTTTATATAATCAAGTGGTAAATGCTAAATACAAATGGTAAATATAGAAAATATAAAACTTCAGCAAGGACATGCTTTGCTTCTGAAGGATAACGATATGTATTCTGTCTGGGTACTGTTCTTTAGCTGTACTGGTTCCCACTACCTTCAAAGCGGCATGCTAAAAATTAATTTGCAGAGATGGAGCAATTAATCTTACCAAGACACTACTATGTGATTGATCTTCTACATTTAATCTAATTAGCCTACACATAGGTGAGAGAAGTAGGCGATGAACACTTCACTACCAGTTTTGACAAAAGGCAACCTTTTAGGGACAACTTACAGTGAATGTTCCCATACATCACTTCTAGGGTACTCATTACTCAGATATTTGAATTAAAAAGGGGTGGGAATGGGTGAAGATGAAAAGATCACAGGGTGGGCTGAACATTCCCATTTTAAATTAGTGGGTCTTTTGAAGAGTCATAATAATAATGTATGGGACGTGGTGGCTCAGTGGCTAAGACGCTGAGTTTGTCGATCGAAAGGTTGGCAGTTCGGCGGTTCGAATCCCTAGTGCCGCGTAATGGGGTGAGCTCCTGTTACTTGTCCCAGCTTCTGCCAACCTATCAGTTCGAAAGCATGTAAAAAATGCAAGTAGAAAAACAGGGACCACCTTTGGTGGGGAGGTAACAGTGTTCCGTGTGCCTTTGGCATTTAGTCATGCCAGCCACATGACCAATGAGATGTTTTTGGACAGCGCTGTCTCTTCGGCTTTGAAACGGAGATGAGCACCGCCCCCTAGAATCGGGAACGACTAGCAGATATGTGCGAGGGGAACCTTTACCTTTAATAATAATGTACCATCATGTCTAGAGAACATGACATCTCAAGCGTTTAGGAGGTGGGTCCTATCAGATGCCCCCATCATTCTTTTTTACAGGGGGAAAATTAAGACACGGTTATGCGACATTAGAAAAAAAAGCAGATAAACTTCATAAATATAGATTGGCACAGATGTTCAATTCACACTTTGAGCCAGCATTATGTGCTTTTCCTCTGCGAAATATTTAAGTCCAGATGTCTACTCCCAGATCCTTCTAAGAATGTCAACGATCTACTCAATCATATCAAAGGCTCATCCAGATTCCTCTACTTGCAACGTTCAAAAATTTTTCTTGGTAAATGATAAGCAGGGCACAATAATTGTAAAATATAGTCACACTCATGCTAATATGAGAATTGTCTCGCCCATGGTTTTTTTTCCCCCTGATAGCATAAAACAGAGTTCTGCAATTGGTTTTTGGTTCATCTCTCAGCTTTATTTCCATAACTAAAGATCTGTTGCTCACTTAAACATTCTACGTTGCTGCCCTTACATCTGCAACATCTCCAAGAAAAATCTACCGCTGCTGTCTTTGTGCACTGTTTATTTCATAATTTTTTAATTTTTCTTTTATACATCTCATTTTGTGAATGTTTTGAGTCCTGGGTTTCATACATTTCAATATCCATTTCAATAAACATAACAA